TCCCAAATAATTAGGCTTTAACACTATCCATATGTCTTGAATAAGGGTTCTAGTCAGCCCAGGTCTCATAATACTATACAATCTCCCTTAGCCTTGCCTCACATAAGGTATTCTCATTCCGACTGGACTGGTCTGAAGTTTAGACCTCTCCTAGGTCTCCTCAGCACCCCATCATCATTTTGTGCTGACTAGGGGGACTAGAATTCTTATTAACAATCTTTGATTGCAGCATAGCCTACTCACTAGCAATATAAGTAGCTAGTGGATCCTAATGAAAAAATACAAGTCTGCCTTATCGACAATTCACTATTAAATATGACATCAAAGATGCATAGCCCGTTTATAAGTTAATGTTCGCTCTCTGATGGACCGGCAATCTTGGAGTAGTGCTAGCATGTCGAAATTAATCTTTGCGCAATGCGGGCTCGATTTCCATTTGTGGGTTGAGACGAGTTCGAGTCTGCAGTCCAGTTCAGCAGAGTCGGAAAAGGAAGACTTTTTTTTGGAGGACGAGGCGAATTAAAATTTAATGACATCGTAGCATCTTTCATCACCATATACAGCCTATCGTGACTATAACTTTTATTAATTTTTATACTTTTTGTCTCTCATCTTATTTGCATATTTCCCCTGCCAGGAAAAAAACCATTTCGACCAATAACACATTAACCTCAGGCTAGAGTTTGTGTCATTTGGAGGATTGATAATTATTTGTTTATTTTCCTTTGTAATCACTCTTTCTTGAATATTTGGCTAGTCATTATTAAATATCGAATGAGAGATTCATCTCGCCCCAATGTGGCATACGGTGACAAAGAATTGAGAGCTGACCTTTCCCACAATTAGAATTCACTCAAATGTCACGTAGTCTTGCTTTCTCAAAAGTCGTCTCATCCCGACTCGGCTGGACTCTAATTTCTACCCTCAACGGGAATCGAGCCTAAGTTGTGACGCCGCGGTCGTCAATGGGTCAGGAGGAAGAAGATAATTTCACGGCAAGCCAGGCTTTTTGTCATTTATAAGTTGACTTTTGAGACCGCCAGCAGATCATATTAATGAAATGTATTCATGCCATTTCGGTTATGTTAAGAAGGGAACTGGTAGTTGAATTTTCTCACAACGACATGAGTTGACTGGATGTTTCCCATTCTTCCCAGAAGGTATTTTCAGCCCAGCTAGAGTTGATTGCAGTCTCGACTTCGTCTTAGTCCCATCAACATCCCCAGCCGGACCCTAAAAATGGTAGGACCTAGGCGAAGTCGACACAAAAGTCGAGACTATGTGAAATTTTATGGAAACGTCATGTCTGCTCATATGATTGTGGGAAAAATGCAACTACTCTTCCTTTTACTACCTTCAGCCAAATGGGATGAGTATATCTCATAAATGGGATTAACTTGCAGTCACAAAAGCCTAATTATAAACGAAAAATAATTCACTTAATCGGTTGCTGCAATAAATACAAATTTGTTTTATTGACGATCCCATCATAACATGTGATGTGGCAAAATGGTTGGCCTTTTTTGAAATTCACATCTGCCCTGTGACGCAAGGGCATTCGTAGCAATGCGGTGTCATGGTTCAAGTCTCACTGGGAGCGCTGATGATGATAGTTCATTGGAGTATGGTTAAGAATACATTTTTTGAAGCAATTTCGTGTGAAATTCAGTAGAAACGTCGTGTCTATTCACGTGATTGTGGCAAAATTCAGCCACCGGTCCCATTAGCAGCCTGAATTCATTTCAAGTGGGACATTTATCATACCACATTTTTTCTGGTGTGATTTACGGCTGGCCATTGCATTCAACTGCATTACGCAGACTCGGTTTGAGTGGGACTCGAATCTGCCGGTGGATCTTGAATAAAAGCCGTAATCTCCAAAGGTCACTCAAAGTGATGTAGCTCTGATGGTTGCCTTGTTTCCCACTGTCAGTTTTATAATCCTACTCAACCTGATTGTTAATATAATTTGCTTTTTATAACGAAGAGCTCTTTCTCTCATTGTTTGAAGTATCCGAGAGATTTGGGACACACTTTTAGGCATTTGGTCGGAATTTATCAAAAGTAACTCCACTTGAGTCACCTTTTCATTTAATCACCCGATTGTGTGTGTGTGTGGCAACGCATAGGCATACAGAGAGACTGTGACTCACTCTGGCGGACATGGAAGTCTGCGGTTTCTCCATCAGATCCCAGAGACGTTTCCGGTAGGGAGCGCAAGAGTCGCGGCCGAACTCCTCCTCTTTCGTGCGGTCGAGACAGGCTTCGCCTATTTTTCGCATCTCCTCCTCCACTTGTTCCTTCTTCTGGAAGTAGCGGTGCTGGCAACAGGTCTCCATGAGGGCCTCGTTGAGGCCCCAGTACTTGACGTCCTCGTGGAAGGCGAGGACGCACATCTCGTCGACCATGTGCAGCCGGCCGGTTCGGTACATGTTGAGGATGCAGGCGAAGGAGCGTGGATGCCGGTCGAAGAAGTACTCGTTGCCGGCCAGGCTGTAGTCGTCGCAGAGACGAATGATCTGCTCATGCGAGACGGCCGAGCGCAGTCGACCGAGTCGCGAGGTGGGCAGTCGCTCGAGCGTGTGCCAGAGCACCTCGTGGCACTCGCCGCCCACGTTGAGCAGGACTCGAGCCGACGTCAAGCGACTGGCGGCAATCTGGTCGCGACTGGGGACCCGGTCCGCCGAGGCGTCACGCATCGACGACTTGACGGGCGGGAGACGCGAGGCGGCGTCACGCTTGGCGCTTGCATTCGAGTCCGAGCCCGAGCCCGAGCCCA